CTTCTTCTCTCTCTCTCTTCTTTCTTATTTTTTTTTTTTTTTTTAAGTATGTATTTTTTTTTATCTGTACTTTATATGATATTTATCAAAAATTCAATTAAAACCATTAGGCTAGTATGCATGTTGATCACTTGTTGAAGAGTGTAAAAATCATAATTTCTATTTTGCACTAATCCTATCACATTTACTATATTCATATTCTCCTTGTACAAAAGTCTCCTATGTAGTAATGTAATTTGTATTCAGTAGTTATCAAGTTTGCAGAGAAAACCAGGTTTAATGTTCTCATCTTCACTAATTCATATTGTGAGAAAAACAGTTTGTGTTTGTTCTTATTATTGCAGGACACACACATATGTAGTTTTTCAACAATAAATTCCTAAAATGATTTTCAGACTAATAGTCAAATAAAAAAATGTATGCAGCTTGTATATGTACTTGTGTATGTGTTGTACATTTGAACTAAACTTATTTTAACTAAATATGTATTGAACAATTTTTAATAGTGTAGTCTTTGCACCAAGGTTTAGGAAAGAGTGTAACCTAATGCATGACTGAGTAACAGTAACTATGTATTCTCATGCTGAAACATTTATTAACCCAATAACAACAACATGCTTCAAACTTAAACACCTTATGTAACTCTCATTAAATTCTTTCCAATAATAAAACAATTGGATAAAATTGTTTAAAACTTGACAAGATCTTTCATAAAAGTATGTAGTTTGAGAAAAATAAAATATTTTTATTTTTTTCTACTATTTCTACCAAAAATTCATTGTTTGATGTAGCTATTTGCTCTCGGTCTCTGAGTAGTCCATCTGCAAGGTGATTTTCATGTTAATTATAAAAATACTATTTTTTGTCTTACAATTTTCACATTTTACCTTCATAATCTCTAGAACCTCCTAAATGAATATCAATAGTTTTCTTAAAATAAATGTTTATATTTTATTTGCTACTTTCTCTACAACATCACTAACTATTATCATCAGCATACATTGCAAAGAAATGTTAAAAAGTAAAAAATGGAAATACATACACACCTTTTATCTCATCATTGAATAATCATAAAATATCTTCTCTGGGTCATGAGCATAATTTCATGTCTTTACATTTTCACCTATAGTTTATTTTTAAAATATTATTTTTCTTATGTTTTCTATATCTAATTATTTATATTGACACACATCAATAGGTGCCTGCGGATGTTATAACATTAACATTGGCAGAGACAGTTGAGCCCCCGACAAAATGGTGGTTGCACTCACTAACTTTATGAATGTCTGTTGATTGAGGCAAGGTATTGAATAAATTTAAAAAATAATTAAACCTTTCAACTATGAATTTTAAAACACACATAATATATAATTAACTAAAATACAAAAGTAAAACCTAAATGCAATTTAACTGTCTGTCAAAATAATACGTACAAGGCAAGAAAAAATAGCCAAGCCCTAGAGACACGCTCTCAATAATGGACTAAGCTTTTTTCAACTTCCTCTGCAAACTGAAAACATTGTTTAACTTCCCTGCCCTCGTTACAAAATATAGTGGGAAATTAGCTCTTTTTATTGATTATAAGCATGTCATTCAAGTTAAAACTGTTTCTTAGCAGTACAGCTTCTACTTTGCAAGTGGGCGTGGCTTATCTTGAACTTGGGAATTTTTACAATGGTTTGCTGTGGGTCAAAATTTCATGGAATGTACTCGATTTACTGGTAAAAAAACTTGTATACTGTACTTTGAATTTCTGCACGAAATTGTCTACATTACACACACAGTTTCTTCTATATCAGCTCTTAAAGTTGAGATTCATAACTGTGGGTACTTAATGACATATCAAAACTCAAGTTTTAAATCATGTTTCAGTAGTTTGTTTTAAAATAAAGGAATAAAAACTTAGATAATATAAGAACTTTGAATTATAACATACTTGATAAAAATAATTTCATTAAAATACATTGAGAGTAAAGTGGTTTAATTAAATTTTGAATGTAACTCAGTAACATGCACAGAAAGGGTTTTAAAAATGGCTTTGTCATTATTGGGTTAATGAACTTTCAGCATACAGGTATACAAAAAGAGTAAAATACACTGCATGTATCAGAAGTCCATTGACAGGCAAATAATTCAGAAACAGAGAAGTATAGGTAAATAATTATTTATGTTGTGGGCCTATCCTTTGATAATATTATTGAGGTCATTTAAGGTAAACTTCAAGATCAGATTCTTTGAAACTTTTATTAATGTACATCATACACTCATACCTAAAATTATTGAGTGCAAAGATGTGGACAACAGATGAAAGTTTTTAAACCAAATCTTGCACTGCGCCCTGCCAACAGTGGTTATAGTTATAAATACGAATGAGGTCAACATTCTAACAGCATTACAAAGTGGTTGAAATAACCAACATCTGTGTTCAAAGTGCTGCCAATATGTGACAAATGCCAATAATTGCAACTTCGGTGTCAGTTACTGTTTTTTCTTTCTGCCCATGTGGCATCTATGTATAAATGAGTCTGTAAGAAACAGCTGCTGGGAACCAGTCAGCTTACGATTTGACAGCAACCCAAATATTTTAGTAACACTTTGTACAGTAGGACCAAGTAAAACTGTTCCCCAGCTGACTATTGTGACCTGCTTATGCAAACTTATGACCTTGCACCTCCAACATACTTTGTGTTATAGCTTTTGCTATGGGCAGATTTCAATTTTTTGTGGTACAGCTTCATATGCATGGAAGGTGTTTATTTATGCTTGAAAGTATTGTTATAGAGAACCAATTTTAGTAGTTTTGGGGTTAAAATATTAAATTTGCTATTTTGCAATAATTAAATATTATTGTTTACACCTTTGCCTTTTACATTTTTGATGTATGATATATATCAAAAAAAGTTTTAAAGGACATGGCCTTAAATGATCTCAGTTATATTGTTGTGTGATAGGCTCACAATGCTTCATTTATGATTTGTCTGTCAATGGACTTCTGAATCACCTGGTATATTGAACATAAGAAATTATTTGGGATGGAATCAGAGAAAGTCACTTATAATTTTGACTTTTTAATAGCTCATCTAAGGAGTGTGAAAAATGTATATCATATAAATAAAAACAACTTAAGAGAGAGAGAGAGAGAGATGTTATTTTGTTTTACACCATAGAGCTATCCTTAAAGTATTCCTCAACTTTGATTCAATTAAACTTTTAGAAGCAACAGAAGATAAACAGGGAAATCAGACACCAAACCACAGGGTATCAACTCCAGGTCCAAATGGAGGAGGACAACCAGCTGTTCCAACCATCACAACTACTGCTTGGCAAAGCTGCCACAAGCTAATCTATGTCCAACGTTCAGCACAGAAGGGCTACTCTGTTGGCCATTGGCCTATTCCAGAATCATTTTGGCCAGATCTCAACAGTCCAGCTTTGGTATGAAGAATAAGTATTTTGTTTTAGTTTTTGTATAATCCATTTTCATACACAGAACTCTTTTTATCATTAGTTAATGATGCAGACCAATTATTTTTTAATTGACTCAACAATTAAGAGTATATTGTTAGATTTTTTAATTTGAAAAATACCAGCTAAATGTAATCTTTATATTTTTTGTGCAGATTACATAGGTGTGAAGACTTTGTTTGAAGTACATATAACAGGAGTATTCATAATTAGATCACTGATAAATCTAGTAGTTATATGTTAATGGTAATTCAGATTTTAAACTTTCTTGTATATTGTATAGTGATTAATATTAAACCTATCATGACTGGTTAGCATCTTTCAGGTGTCAAGTAAACAAATTTCAAAATTGAAGTAAAAATAATATCCTTAACTCTGTTTTATTAGTTTTTAACACAAAAATATTTTAAAATTTACATTCTGTCATTTTGTAACATTTATTTAGTATGAAATCGAAAATTTAAAAATGTTCCAATTTTCATTTCTCTACAGCTCCAAGAATGCATTTATTATTTTTTATAATTTATTTGCCCATCCCAAAGTATAGTTTCATATTTGCTGACAAGCTATCATATATTTAGAATATAATAAATCATGTCTAGTTTCTCAGGTGATTTTCCTTCTTTGTTCTTGGTTTTATTACAACAGCCCATCATTGCCATCTTTCTATGATGTCGTAGAATGTGGTATGGAAAATTACGAATAAAGTTTAGATTTGAAAACAGCCAATGTTTAAATATGGTTGGAGAAAATTGATTATATACTAATTACTTCAGTGGAAAGTAAATAAAGTAGTTTGAACAGAAATTTCTTTTCTTGGGATAGTGACTAGTGGATTTCCTGTAAAGGTCAACAAAGGAATTTAGTGAAAAGTTTAGAGGGATTAGGAACAAATCAGAGATCTAGGAATGCTTTTTAAAAGTTTCTATAAATGTTCTTATTGTTACTAAAAATTTAATTTTTTATTGTGTGGGTTTTAAAAGCTACAGAAATTTTCTTCTAAGCTTTTCATCATGTAAGCTTAGTTAGGTTTAATAGGTACAGTAGGCAATGGCAAATACAGTGGCCCAAATTCTTATTTTGTATATTATTGTTAAGATTATTGTATTTAAACTATGCATACAAAATGAAAGAACTGACTATTTATTAAAAATGGATTACATTTATTAGATATAAGTTGATTTTGACCAAGAATATTGTTAGGAAAAATCACTTTACTTAGTTTGACAAAAGATGACACCATTTTCATAGGTGAGTTCCTAGGCCAATAATATATTTTATCAGTTTTTGCTTTGTTTTTTTATCATTATATCCAGAAGAGATGACTATTACAATTAGGGCCCCCCCAGTGGCACAGCGGTATGTCTGCAGACTTACAACGCTAGAAACCGGGTTTCGATACCCGTGGTGGGCAGAGCACAGATAGCCCATTGTGTAGCTTTGTGCATAAAATTCAAAAAAAAATTAAAAATACAATTAGCAAAATAAAATATTGAAAATTTGGAAATTTCCCAACCTAAAAAAATAATGGAAATACTAAATCAAATTATATGAATTATTTAAAGCTAAAACTAGACATTATTTGTTAAGTTTTGTGAAGTTTGGTTACCTATACCTTTGTGAGAAAGAAGAAGAAAAAACAGGGGATACCAATGGTGCTCCACTGGTTCAGAAAAGGTGTTAAGTAACTGTTTTTTACCACTTTGATTATTTCCTGTTAACTTATCATTCCTACACTGTGTAAGAGCATGTTTAGAGTAACTAAATGCACAATACTGTGTGAAATAATCTAAAATAATGTTTGAATCTATAACGATGGAACAAGAACAAATTTTGACACTTTCAAAAGAACATGCTTGTTTTTGTATTAAAATAAAATTTTGTACTAAAATAAATTAGCAAAGTGCTCCTTCTGTAATAGTTAATATTGTTAGCTGATTGTGAGGCTGCCTACTAGTGATAAACTCTTCATACAGATAGTACAACAAGCATTTAACACTGATAGACATTTTCTTACTTCTTTGAATGTTGAAAAGATTTTACAATTAGCACCACTGTAACTCTAATGAACCAAAGATGTAAAAAATAAGTTGTGTATTTTAAATTTCAATAACAGATAAGTTCAGCAACAACAATACACGAGTTTAAACCCAAAAATGCTAAATGTCTTCTTCTTCTTTTTTTTTTATAATCTTGATTAATACAGGTGTTAAGCAACCAGCATTTTTGTAAATTTGCATTTACAACAGGAATCTTCAAGTGTCTAATGATTGAAGCATTGGCTAGAAATGTACTTATTTGTTTACAGTTGAGCCATTGCTGCGATGATACTAACAAATATGCTGATTAGTAAAGACTCAATGAATAGCATGTGCAGAAACCAAATTTGTTTACACAGTATGGTTACCAGTTATAGACATTACAAAGGGGGAAACTTGTTACTTGTTGAAGTAAAGTGTTTTATGATCACTATAATTTGTTTACTGTTGAACATTGTTACCTGTTAACTTGGAAAGCTACATGTATGATGTAATAAAACATGTACTTGTGTCTTGTGAAGTAAATGACATTTTAACTTGGATGTGTAGCTGTATGCTTTCTCTTGGTGGAGTTGTACCTTACTGTCATCCAGTCCAAACAAGACTGGTATTTTCGTACAATATAGTATGTAAGTATGATAGGATGTGTAGTTCTTCTTGGAACTTTTGTCAACTCTGAATGTTTAACTTACCTGTAATCTGCATAAATCTCTTTAAAAAGTTTTTGCAGGCACTGAAGTAGACATATATTTCCATTTGACACGTACCTCTCACAGTTTTTCATAGTTGATTTTCCATTCAGCTGTGTAGTTTTGGGCTACTTCTGGTGTCAGTTAATTTTCTTCACCTTCTGTAGTGAGTGAATGGTAGTAGATCATGGAATAGTTAATTATTTCTCTGCTGTAGCCATGAAGTTTCAAACTTCAATGATACATACACATACAAAAACATTTGGTTAGTCTCACATAATGTATTATGAGGGTGTATAAAAATTGATGAAACTTGAATTTATTTTAACACAAGTTGCTAGATACATGTGTCATAACCAGTGAATATACATCATTTGCTATTATTTTGAAATAATTTTTAGCCTAGGAAATTTTCAACTGTCCTTTTTTTCATTTAATATGTTAGTATAACATGCAAGGTAATGGAAATGTATTTATAAACACTGTAACTTTTATGTTAAAAATGTTTTTTCTGAAATTATATTTTAAGTGCACCAAAGATAGACACATTTCTATCTACTCTGGCAAATATTTTTACCAATTTTCATTGAATTAAAATACTTTATTGACCATTTTAAAGTGTATTTCACTAAGCAAAATTATTTGATGTGTTATATTGCACAAGATTGAAATAGTCCCTTATATTATTAACATGAAAATATTTTATATGTGTATATAGACACACACACAGACTTATAACTTATAATCACACATGCACATACATATCATTTACAAGTGTATATTTTTTGAGCAGCCTCCAAGGACAGCACATCCAGTGGTCAAGTTTACTTGTACTAATGCAGAACCCATGGTCATTGACAACCTACCATTTGATAAGTATGAACTAGAACCAAGTCCTTTAACTCAGTACATCCTCTCCAGAAAGCAACCAACTGTTGCATGGCAGGTTAGTAAAGAAAGAAAAAAAAAAGGTTAAGGTGAACTGTGGTTAGTTGGGGGGGGGGGGGGGTTTATGGTCACTCTTTTGTAGATGCCATCTTTATTCATCCAGTTATAATGAAAATGCTTTATATGATATAACAAGTGTAACAAAGCATAGTTGTTGAAAGTTAACTTTATTTTCTCTATTTTTATCAGTACCATGAGGTCTGTCTCCAAAAAGTTAGCATGTTTAGTGTTTACAAGCATTAAATGTGGATTTGTTCTTATAGTGTTGGGTCCATGTATTGCATCATATTGAGTAATTTTATGTTTCTGCCTCTTACAACACTCGGTGTAAAGAACTGACCAAAAAAGTTTGTGAAATCACTCATTTTTAATGAGGACTTGTCCCGAGTGCTTGTGTATGCATGGCTTAGATGCTGTGCCCCCGCCTGTATGTGCTCCACCATTTCCGTATTCATGGCGTGTTAGATCCCACTTTTGTCCCTATTTTCTTGTAATAATAATTCATGATTGTGTGACAGCTAAGCATCGGTAGAATTATCGATGTACTGCTGTCTATGATGATGATGATGATGATGATTCATTTTAGATATTTTAAAGTGTTCAAAAGAAGAAGTCTTGTAGTATATAGTCATTAGTCTCCTTTCTTTGTGAGGTAACTGAATATTGTTGGACCCAAAGATTTTAAGAAATGTTGTTGGTAGAAATTAATTTTCTCATTGTTTGAAAAAAAAAAAATAATATATATATATATATATTAGTATCTCCCCACTGAGTGTACTTTGCACAGAGTGAGCATCATAATGATGCCACGGTTCAATCATTGCTGCTGTACCACCTTCATATGTTCTGTTAAGTATTATTTGTGTCTATAAGAATTAGAATAAGATAAGAGGACTACATGATAAAGAAAGAATAATGTAAAGTTTTAGTATTACCTAAATAATATTTGATTATATTGTTTACAAAAACCCTCAGAATTTTATTGGTTATGTAGTCAATGACGTTGTTGTAAAACATCCAAAAGTAATTAATATAAATTTCAGACTTACCTACTCAGTCTAAACTAAATGGTTAGAAAGTGAAAAATAACATATATTGTTCAATTTGACTTTTTCTTGTTTTGTACTTGATTTTACTGTCAAACATTTATGTATATTAATTTGTGAATGGAGCTTAAAAATCTGCCTGTGTGGTGCTACAGTGGTGAAAAAATCATTAACTGAATTTTACATTTCTGCAAAGTGTAAATAGAAAATATAAAGATAATAGTTTTCTGTAATTTATGCTTTTTCAAGACAGTTTTCTTTTAACTTTTAATCTTAAAACTTTCAGGTTTATGTGAATGGTAGTCACAAAAGTAGTGAACTAGGCCATTCCTTTGGTTACCTAAAAGCCAGTACCACTCTTACCTGTGTTAACCTTTTTGTTTTGCCATACAATTATCCAGTTCTACTTCCTTTACTGGGTAAGAAAGGTTTATTGTTCCTTGAAATTTACATAGTTTAATTTGAAACAATAAATATTTTATTATATTTCTTGATGTTACGAATCAAATTGCAAATAGTATTTAAATACATTTTATTGAAATACTTGTATTAACATATTAAACACTTTTTTGAAATATAACACAAGTTTTTCTTAATCACCATAACATGTATTGACTTGCAAGTATATAAACTTACAACAGTTCTAGAACAAAAGACAGTTTTCAAAATACTGATGTAGAATTAAATTTTCAAGTATAGCTGTATGTATGTATTATTGTTGATAAAACAGAGTTTTAACAATTCAGTTAAAATTGGACAATACAGTTATAAGAGGCAAAAAATGTTATATAAGTTTTAATCTCATAAATGGATCTACCAATTCCAAAGTCAAATAAATCATAATTGCTGCCAGTCCTTTTAGTAACATATCAAGTCATTTTTCATCAACTAACTCAAATAAAATTGGCAGTAAACAAGATTATAATTTTTGTTAAATTCTGAATGAACTTTTACAAAAATTTGCTTTTTTTCCATTATTTTTCATTTGTGATTTTCAAAAGTTACAACCTAAAGTTTTTGTGTATTTTTATTTCTGTAAGACTTGGAGATATTGAATATTGTTCTTGAGAATTTTTAGTTGTTTTTTTATGTTGTAGAATTAAACTGTTTTAGTTGTTGAAATTAAAAGTTAAAACATTTTTTTTAGATGAATTTTTCAAGGTTTACAGATGTAAGGCACCTAAAGAATGGAAACAGAATTTTGAAAATTATTTAAAAAATATGCCACTCTATTATGCAGCTGTAAGTTGAATTTTTCCATATTAATCAATTTATAAGTGTTCATGATAGCTACCTTTAGTTCTGTACTTTTTTATTCATTTCTTTTCACATATTAATAATTTCTGACATTTAATAAAATTTATCTATTATGTGTTAACTTAAATAAGTTGATAATACTTTTATATAGTTAAGGATGGTAAATATATCTGTTTTATCTAAGAATAGCATTCTTTTGTGGATTTGGAATGGAAAGAAAGAAAGCAATGAAAATAATTAGATTTTAGTTGGTAATATGTTTTATTTCAGAATGTAATTTTAAGGTGTTTATGTGGATCTAAACCACTGGCCATGCATATTATGTATACTCTTGAACTATATTAGATATGAATTTATTTATCACTTATTTGCACAAATAAAACATTAAATACAGTGAGTAATGTAAGTTTTTTTTTTTATTGTTTTACATAAACTAAGATATTTTAGTTGATGATTTTCTGTCTGATTCATGAATATTTTTTTTGAAGCCACTTAAAAGAGCATTGCAACGAATGGGAGCTCCTAATCTAGTACCAGAAAGTATGGAAAACTGTCTTAGTTACAGTATTTTAAACTATTTGAAGAGACTTAAAAATCAGGTAATTAAAAATAGTGAATATCTGAAAATATAAGTTATAGATATATCTTCAGTTACTGTTTACACATTTCTAGGAGTTTTTTGTTGTTGTTGTTTCAGTAATCTTATATCCTTGTTTTGTATACTAAGATAAGTGTGACTATTTGTGTACTCACATTACATAACTAGGATTTGGAGGGTAGAGAGCCATATTGATATCAGTTAATACATGTTTTTGCCTGCTCACTCTACTGTAAGGGTTGTTTTTTTTTTTTTACATTGAATTTTTCTTTTGCAGCTTCAAAACTAAATTGGTTTATGTTCTTGTTGCCAAATGGCTTTAATTGGCATACTGACTATTATAATGCCTTGATTGAAATTGCTAAAAATCTGTGTGCAAAACTGAAATAAGAAATAACCATTTAAAAAACTGTTAATTAATTATTAATATGCAAATATTCCTTAATTTTAATTTAATTTTTTGTGAACAATGCAAAGGAAAGGGCAATAGATGTCAAAAGATCTGGTAATCTTTGCTCATTGCCACTAATACAGTTATGTAGAGACTTGAAATTGTTATAGGTATTTAAAAAATTATCTACGGCCAGAGACTATATGTGCTGGATTTAAATATCCACTACAATTGAAATTACTGGGTAGAGCTCAGTGAGTCCTAACTATCCAACTCTGCCAGAAGATATATTATTTTTCTTATACTTGTATGATAGCAAAAAACAAATTGTAAAAATACCAGAACACAAAATTTTAACAGATATGATTCTCAAGGAAATATATTTTAAAAATCAAGTTGCCTGTAGGTCAAGCGAAATATATTAATCCGTTTAAAATTAAAGTTCAGTAAATTAATTAATTAAGTGTAATGCTTATTGATATGGAATTAAAACAGTTTGATTGAATACATCAGAGGTCTATTTAACAACCACTCTTCATGGTTCGACAATACTTCATCATCCCCAGGAGTAATCTGCAAGCACAAGAGTTCAATATTTATAAATTTGTAATGAGTCATGCTGCATTTTATATTCTCCAGTATTTACGTAAATTGCTAACTGACCTTTCATAGGAGGTCACACTATATACCAACACAAAGACTAGCTGTAACTTCATCTCTGTTAAATACTACAAGCTCTCTTTCTTTTTCTTATTTCTAAAGATGTTTTAGCATTCAAATTATTAGACTGAGGTGGAATAATCATTTTATCCCATGTTGTGTTATTTGTACATTTTCTTCTATATCTAAATTTTGAGTTTTATTATATAACAATTGATATTCTTTTAATCTATATTTTAAGTTCCTATAAGTTTTAATTGAGTACCAATAAACATTGCATTTTATTAATTTTATTTTCTAGCTTTTTACATAATTGCCAATTAGTCTTGCTGCTTAGAATTGTTTCTGAAGCTTTGGCAAGATTTTTAAGTGCTTAAATGTCATAAGTTTGAAGAAATTAACAGTTAAGTAAGAACACAAACTGCTGCATCCTTTAGCAAAGTTGTCTTTTATTTCTTATAATTATATGTTACTTATAACAATAAAAGTCTTGCATTGATTTATTTCAAATAAATTTTCTTTCATTATTATAATACACAAACATGTTTCACATGGGTAACTGCTGACCACAAGTAGTAGAAAAGATTAAATGAAAAAAAAGGAACAATCTTACGAGAAGTGTTGCACGTATTATAAAACTAAGTATAGTTAATCTTGTACTGTTTGATAAAAAGTATACTCTTTTCATCAGGCTAAGTCAGAGTTTGAAAAGATAGTGATGATGGTTGGAGCAGGCAAACAATCCAACACAGAAAGTATCCGTGTTAATCCTGGAGTTCCTCGTCTGAATGGAGATACTCCAAAGATCTCTGATCTCTGCCTGACATCAAATTTTTGTTTAACAAACAGATTCTCAAGTTTAGCTTCAGAACTTAATGATTTCAGTGGCTTTGCTCTAGCTGTGAAAGACAAAGAAGTAAAGACAGAAAGTTATCGCAATCCATTTGATATAACACGAGTCAGTTTACTTGATCAAATAGCACGAATGCGAGGAAATTTTCTCCAGACCACATTATCTCACGTGAGGCTACAAGATGAAGGTAAATATTCCAACCATCTTATATGATCTAAAGCTGTAAATTATATTTTCCAAAACATACCTCTCTTCACACTACAACTATTATTCGACTGCTAAGGTTTTTTTTACATTTGCCCATCTAAGCATTGATCTGATTTTTTCTCGTTTGCTCCAATCTTTTATTCCCCACTTAATTGCCCTTGGTGATATCTGTCCCATGACACTCCACCTACATCGATGCGCCCTCTATCTTAGTACTGTACATAAGCATCTCCTTCAAATAATTGTCACTTTTTCTCGAAAAATCATTTACTGATGGGTTTCTCTGTATTATGACTGTTGGAGAAACAAGGAGTGTTTTTTGTGTTGCCTATTTGGTTTTCTTAAAGCTAATAAGTGCATCCAGCACAGAGGGAAATTAGGTCTCTCCTTTCCCTCCTCTGATATCTAGAGGGGGGGGTCACTCTAGATTGAGACTGTCTTTGACCTTATTCATAGTGAGGTGGAGATGGACATTCGGTCTGGTGGTGTTTCTCCATGGGGCTCTGAGACTGCATTTGAGGGTGATCCATGACATTCTGGAGAGAATTTAGATTTGCTTTTTTCCAGTGCCTTCCTTTACTCTGTCAGCTTCTCATGAGGCCAATTTGGATCAGCCACCTCCGGCTCCTTTTCTTCCACTGGTACATCAATTGAGTGATGTTTTGGGTCTTTCCCTGGTTGCTTTTGAGTCTGTGTCTTCCTTGATGATGGAAAGGTCTGATGATGAGTACTTAGTTCTTCCTCCATTTCCAGATATTGTGGTTCATGCAGGGCGGTTTACTGCTTAGTTATGTGAAGGAACAGCTATGCCTTGTACACCATGTTTGTCAGAACAAGATGCTTTCAACTAACACTGCCAGGTGAAAGTGTATTTAGACTCTCAGAGAGTAGACCCGCTCCTGGGAAGGTGGGGTTCCAGAACGGAGTCTGTGGTCAACCTGAATAAATCACAGTTTTCTAGAATTTGTTTAACCCTATCTACGGTGCTGACATATTTATCATCCCTACACCTTTTTTAGGAAGCATCTCAACAATCACTACAGCACTTTGATGATGTGTTGGGACCATTTTAGCATCCTCCTTGGTTTGACTGTCAGCTTCTGCAATTTACCTAGTCTCTTGGCTGATATGTTGTTGGGATTTATTTGAAGACGTTTGTCTACCTGCTGCTGCCGCCCTCCATGAGTTACATAAGGCCCTTTTCTCCAACCCTTGTTCCAGAATCTTTGGATTCAAGGATTGATGTTGCCCATCTTTGTTCAACCCTGTCAACCTTGGCTTCTCTACTTTCCTCAGCTCCTACTGGAGGTCATGGTTCCACCCCTATTTGAGTGTCCCAACATCAGCCCCTTGGTCCATGGGTACCCAGAATAGAATCCACCCATATCCACAAAGTTCCTCTGCTTGGTTGGAAAACCTCCGGCAGCAGCACAGTGACTTTCGTATGCCTTCTGAGTCTGTGGGGGCTTGACTCTGAGAATTTCTGGACGTGCGGTGAACCTTAGCCACAGATACATGGGGACTACTGGTCTTTGCATCAAGATTAGTCATTCAGTACACATCTCCACCACCATTATCCCCCCCAACCTGTAGTGTTTCTGCCTCTCGCAGATCCTCGGATTTCTGAACTTTTTTCTACGACTATCAGAGATTTGTTGGTCATGGGTGCAGTGGAGAGAGTCATTCCAGTTCTTCCTGGGTTTTATTTCTGTCTGTTTATTGTGCCCAAGAAGATGGGAAATTGGTGTCTGTTTATCGATCTTTCTCATCTAAATCAATTCTTAGACCCTCTAAAGTTCATGATTGCATCATTCCTCACACTACATTGGTATTTTCTGGCGAATTTGGTGGCGGATCAATTGTCTCAACCTGACTGGATTCTTTCAACAGAATGGATGCTTCAAGGGGGTTTTCCATTAGATTTGCTCTCGGTTCGGGACACCAATGATCGATGCATTTCCCACTCGTTGGAATTTTCAACTTATGCTTATGCGGTACCTTCAGGTGTGCCCACCTCTTCCACTTCCTCTTTGGTCATCTCTGTTGGGGCAGCCACAATCCAACGTCTTACACCCATCCATCCCGAAGCTCAAGCTTTATGCATGGAGGTTATGTAGTGTTTAACTTCTAAGGTTGTCATGTAACTGTCTCAGTCTCTGCATCATCCCACAATGGACATTCATCAAAGGAAATGGCAAACATATCGACAATGGTGTATTGTGAAGAGGTTGAAACCACTTTTCCTATACATACTAACCATAGCTTGGTTTTTGACCTGGCTCTTTGACAAGGGTTTTCGCATCTTCCAGCAATCGGCCTTATCGGCTACCTTTAGATATTCGAAGCAACAGCAATTCTTTGAGTCCCCAGTTCTCTCTGGCCTTCTCAAGTCGCTTCTGGTCTTTTGTCCCAAACTACCATTTCAGTTACCTAATTGAGATATATAGATGGTGTTACATGCTCTTTCTCAACATCCATTAAGGTTTATTTTTTGTTGCTGCCACCCTGCAGACATCGTGGTCGGAGTTGTTTATGCTGCATTTGCACAGAATGGTATATCATTCTATTTATGTCCTTCTATACCCAGAAAGGTCCTTCTTGCCTCAGACACTAGCAACCAGGGAAGGGGATAAATCCTTTTTACTAATTCATCTGACCACTATTTCTCACCTTTATGACCGAGTGGATCTCGATTGTGTGTTATGTCCGGTGAGGGCCTTGAAGTGTTATATGGCCCATACTAAAGCTTTTAGGGGTGCTGGATTGTGGCTTCTTTCTTCTTTGTGACCCTTCAGTTGCTGGGATTTATCCCCGGTTACCTTGATGGGGTGGGTATGAAAATTGATCCATATTACTTATTCTGGGCTCTCTTTAGAGGTGTGGAAACTTCTGCAAGTCAAATCTCATCAGATTCATTACATTTCTTTGCCCTTAGCAGCCTGGTTAAATTGCTCACTGGATGACATTGTGCAGGCTGATATGTGGTGTGCTTTTATCGAACCAAATCCACACTAGCAACCACTAACTTAATATATTTTATCTAGGTTGCAACAGGCTCTGTACAAATGAGGTGTTCCATAAGACCACCTAGAAGCAGACTGGATGGTATTACTGTACTGTGCTGGACCACCACTAATGGACTATCATGAGTAAAGCATAAGGGGATCCTACCTGTCCCTGCCAATCAGTGGATTGAATAAATCGGGGTCGGTTTGCTTTTAAAACTTTATGAAACTTTGTTTACCTATTGCACTGTTTCAAGAGAATTGTTCCTCAGGGCTCCCCAACATGCAATAACCCCCCCCCCCCCCATTCTACTGGTAGAGTTAGGGAGTCCTTGCCACTCTCGATTTCCAGTCACTGGGGTGGTGGACAGAGGTTATTCCTCCAGAGTGTTAAAGTGACTATTCTACACTCTTGGAGAAGATGGTGACGTTGGAGATAGTGGATTTTCTTTCCCCCAGATGTCGCTAGGAGTGGCAGAAGACTAATTGTAATACTGGTTCAGATTTGATGATCAGCTATTTTATCTGAAGGAGTTGTTATATACAGTACCAAGATAGAGGGCACACTGACTTAGATGGAGAGTATCATGAGACAGATAACACCAAGGGCATTTAAGTGGGGAATAAAAGACTGGAGCAAGTGATAAAAATTTCCAGGGATTACTTAGATGGGCAAAGGTAAAGAAACCCTAGCAGTCGAGTTATAGCTGTAGTTGGAGAGGAGGTAAGTATTATTGGAAATACATTTTCAATTTAAGAAAATATTAACTTTTATTTTTCTTTACATTTTTCCATCACATGTTAAAACTAGTTGTGAACAGATTGGCATTACATTGACTTGAACTACAATATCAAGATGCCTTTAAGGGCTTGTTGATTTGCAGTTCCCATTGCAAGATAACTGTCTACAAGAAAGCAAACAAAAAATATATTGATATTTTACAATTAGTATCAACTATTCATAAAAATGCATAACTGTCAACACTTGAGATACAACAGCCAATTTGTGAGCTGCTAAGTAACATTTAAAGCTGCTGTTTACTAGTTGGACTTTGTTACTATTTATAAAATTAGATCACATTTTTATACATGTCAGTGTTGACATTTATGAACTACACAAGTACATGTTTTAGTAAGTTTGTACTACATAATTATAATTCTTTGTATTTAGTCTATCAAACCTGACCAATTTTCATTAGGGTTATCCATTTAAAGACAGAATTTTGGTTTTGAACTATTCATCATTGTTGTTTGCTGATTATTGTCAGAAGAGAATTATTTGGACTGTTATCATTGGAAAAAATACATATTTTATTTGTGAATTATGAAGATGTTTTAAGATAATTACCCATTTTGAGCAAATCGCCCGATACAGAAGATGTTAATAAACTTAAGTTTTACTAATCCTTTGGGAATGTAGAATAATGAGTAGACATCCTTGTCAGTGTTTATCAAAGCTATTAAGATGAGAATGATTATGACTATGCACATAAGATGGATATTTCTTTACATGTATAAGTCATGCAAATAATATTGAGTTTATAGTTTTATATATTTTTTGTTTTCATATCAAAGTGAACTCTTGTTTATTTCAATACAATACCCTGTAATATTTAAGATCAGAAGCCATTGCTGATTTGATCACATTTACCATTTGCTGTGAATCTATAATATCACTGACTAGTAACTATAAACAAGATTATTGTTGCTTGTACAAACTCAAAAGAAATTAACCAAGAATTTATAGCCACAGTTGACTATTATTTACTGTGGACCTGTCTTAGCTTTGCTTTCTACTGGAATGATCTTGGGCAGGTGTAACTTGACTGCAAACAACATTCCAACTTCTGTCAGAAAAACATAAAATTTAAATATCAGAGAGTACTGCCGATTGTAGATACATTCATTTTGTAACTTTTATACAAAACTATTAAATGTTTTGCTATTTTTTAATAACTAGTTGTACAGCCAACAAAAAGTGTCTAATCTGGTCTTGGGGTTGACATAAAGGGGCCTCCCAGTGGTATGTCTATGGACTTACAATGCTAGAAACTGGGTTTTGATACCCGTGGTGGGCAGAGCACAGATAGCCCATTGTATAGCTTTCTGCTTAAACAAACAAACAAACATAAAGGGTATCTAAACATCAGCCTGTCAGTATTTCAAAAATATCCACCTTTATTTTTTTCAACATTAGTTAAATGAGATTTGTTAGACTAGAAACAAAAATTGGATAAACATTTTAGGGTATTGTAAATTATTAAGAGGTGAGTAGCATAATGTAACATTGATGTAAACAATGCTCTCACTGACTGGATGAGTTTATCAGACATGTTGTTCAGCGTTAAAATAAATTCTTGGAAAATATTACTTAAAGTTTTTTACAAACAGAAAAGGAATTTCACCCGCATATATAAATTTTTGTTGTGTGAATATTTAAAGTGCTTCTAATAGTAATTATTATAGTAAATGTTCATACCTAACTTAATAATTAACCAAGAAAAAGATAATTTCACTTTGTAATGCGTACTACTTTCCAGTAGGAGAAAAATTTCACTTGCCCCTTTATTATGTAGCGTGTGATTATTTTGTGCTGTATTAGTAGATTGTTCATAGAAGTTAAATTGTATTTTTAAAGGATAATAAGTTTGTTTCTAGAAGTAAAAATTAAATAGTAATGTTTTTTATTTGGGACTACATTTAGATATTTTGTGCATTTTTATACAGACCAGTTGCACAGCTTACCTGTAAGTCAGATGGGGAACTATCAAGAATATTTAAAGAGGATGCCAACACCTTTAAGAGAAATAGAATCAGCTCCAGTGAGACAACATATGTTTGGAAATCCGTTCAAAATTGAAAAGGTGGGATTATATAAATGAAAATAGATACCTTCACTAAATCATAACGGAAATTTAAGGTAGTTTTAAGGTATTGGTAATTAATTAATTAGAAACTGGCTTTAATGTGATGTTGGAAAGACGAAACCAGTAGCCTTTCAAAAATATTTTATGCCAGATAATTATTACGTATTATATTTTTGATTACCTGAAAGTTATTTATACTGTATTATGTATTTTGCTGAATTTTCTCATGTTAATAATTAATTTTTGCTTGTCCTATTAAAAGTTAAGATAACTTGTACAATTGAAATCATCAATCCACTGTATAAAATAATCTTTAATACTTCATTTGATTTTTATTGGAACCTGTAGGTAAGTTATTTTTACAATGAGCTTAAAAAAAATAGTACCTTGTCTTATTCTATAATGTTTAAGCTTCATTTTACTTATAATAATCTACAGAGATCTTACAAAATTAGACTTTGACACAGTAATTGTTCTGAACACAAACCAAAAGTATGCATAATATTGTAATAGGGACTGGACATGGCCTAGTTAGTTAGCATTCTCAAAATGGATTCATGGTTTGTGTCTCATTGCTGCAAAAATACGTTCTGAACGGGGCTGTTGATGTGCTTTTTTAGTCACAAAAGGGTGGCCCAAGAGTTCACAGGGGTGGGGGAGCTGTTTGTTGTTGATTAGCTTCCTACCATCTAGCCCATTGCTGGAATCCTTTTGCAGATATGTATATATATATATATTCTGTCATTTTATTGTAGGATCATTCTACATGGCACACTGTTAAAAAAAAAAGATTTCATGCAAGCCTATAAAGAAAGAATGACACTACTTCTGTCAGTGCGATTAGTAAGCTTGTATCCCTTCACAGAGGAAGATTGATGCCCATTAAAATGGACATTGTTCATTTTAATTGGAATGGAAACTAATTGCAATGCCTTAGTAATATTGAACAATTCAATGTAAACAGTCCCCCATTGCTTATTTTGTTCTGCAGAACCCTGGAGATTTGTGCAACACAGTTTCGGAACCACTGCTCTAGTCTATTTCAGAATTAGGTAGAGGTATGCGAGGTACACCGTGTATAGCTTTGCACAAAATTCTAAAACAAACAATACTATGTTTATTTCGGCAAGCTTGGGACATGTTGCTGAAAAGTGATTTCTCACCTATATTTTTTGTTTTGGTTTGAATATTGTGAAACAACTGTAACAGTAGGTACTTGATTCCCATGGCTACTTTGTAATTATGTAACTAATATGTTATTGGTAGGATCATCACCAGTCTTAAATACTATAACAAGTTTTGTTAGTGTTATACAAGATATGTTCTTTTTTCCTTTCATGCTATAACTAACAGCGTATGATGGTTGACGAGGCTGATATTGACCTAGTTGGGGGTGGAGGACCACAAGCTAGAGGAATCAAAAGGCAAGCTGATGCACCCCTTGGTTCACCAAAGCCCAAAAGAAAACCAGGACCTTTACCCAAAGACTTCCCTATTCGTAGACCCAAAAGTCCTCTACCTCCAAGTTCACCACAACTAGATAATCCTTGTTCTAGTCCTGCCAGTGAAAATTTAGAAGACGTAGTAGCAGATCAAACAGTAAAGAACAAACAAGGTAAGCAAAAACAATTTGTCTTCTGTAACAAAAACAAAACTGTCAATTCTGGTGTTGTTAATGATGGTGTTTTTTGAGAAAAAATATTAGAATTTATGAATACAAAATATCTTGGTATAATGTTTTTCTTATTTAACTTTCCAAGTCCTATTATGTTGTTTTAAGGTGAATACTCTTTTACTAATATTTATTTATCTATTATAAATTCTACTTGCATTGTATTAAGAACACATTTTGTTTTCTGATAAATCACTTCAAAACCAGTGATTTGAATTGTAGCAAAAAACTACAGATTTAAGTAATCTAGAAAGCCACTGAAATTACACTTAAGGGTTTTGAAGTAGGTTTTGACACTAACCAAAAATTGTTTTATTTACATATTTTACCCATAACAAGTTGTTTATCGAAGAAATTTCCCACTCTGGTTTTTAAAAAGCTCTTTTTGTCTCCCAATATCTGCAAAAATCTATACTTTCAATTTCAGAATATTATAAGAAATGAACTAGAAGAAGTCATAAAAGATAGATTAATGGTTGAATGAACTGTGAAGGAAAGTGTTGGTTGTTATTTTATTCCATTTTGAATCTATTATTTGTTTATCCCACAATGTTTTGCGTGTTACCGATTCAAATTTTTCCCTATAGAAAATGTTTCTAGTCAGCTAATTTTTGAGCTGACATTAATTACTGTTTGTAAACAAAATTTAATTGCTTTTAAAACTTTTTATGACAAAAAAGAAAATATAACTAACATAAATGTTAGTATTCATAATTTTGACAATTGCCTCTTGGCTTTATTAGTGAAACTTGTACTAAACTAACAACATCATATTATTAAACAGATGTAAGCTTTTAAAATAGAATCAGAAATATGTCCTAATCTAATTTATTTACAATGTTATGCTTAAAATAAAAATATTCAATTCAGTAATTTATTTTAGTTCCAGCTACCCTAGTCCTGTATCGAGTAGCTTCTCAATTAAACTTTACACTTCTCTTTGACTGTTTAATTTTTGATGAGAATTAAAATAAATTTGTTTTGTTTGTAACATTACAGATATTTAACATATTGAACATTTTTACAAAATAAAACTTAGTTTTTCCTTAAATTAAAGAAAAAGATAAAAATTGTAAAATTCTCCTCCATGGTAGATTTTTTTTTATATCCTTTTGTTAACTTCAAAATGGAATTCATGAGGTTTTCAGATCTGTACATTTTTCAGAGTAAACTTTTTTTGTCTAGCATATTAAAAGGGGTGTTAAGAAAAAATTACACTTAAGTTACACAAAAGTTAATAAAAACTAAAACATACCACCACATTAAAGTGTATTGCGTAATAGAATTTTAATAAAAATGACATCAAGCCCTGTTGCATATTCTCTACATGTTTCGACATGACATACACCACCATCATCAGAAGCAAGGTGTTACAATAAGAGACAGTATATATACCTTAGCAGCTTCAGATTTGTACAAAATTTAGATAATTTAATATAATTAGCCAACTTGTTATGCCCTCTACATGTACAAAATAATTTCCAAATATTCTTTAATTTTATCTGATTAACCAATTAAACATTATACCAATACTAATGGTATATTTATTTGGACTATTATTCTCGTCTTTATTGTGTGTATTCTTTTGTTTGTAATTAAGCACAAAGCTACACAATGGGCTATCTGTGCTCTACCCCCAAAGGGTATCGAAACCCGGATTCTAACATTGTAAGTCCGCAGACATTTTTACAATTTTCAACTAGTGAATTCTCCAGCTGTCGTCAAATAAATGTTATAAATCCTGTTGATTCTCTTAGGATTAAGTCCTATGTAGATGGCAACATACTTTTAAAACTTCAACTCTGACATTAAATCTTTATGATGGGTTTAGATTTTTAAAGCTTTAAAAACAAATGTAGAGAAAGCAGACAATTTTAGTGACCAGGGATGTTGAGTTTCCTTGTGTGTCTAGCAACATGTTAAAACATAGAACAGTAAATAAAGAAGTAAAGCAATCAATTATATCTTGTGGTTACGACCTTTGTACTCAGTTATTGCTTGACGTAGATTGCCAAGCCTTTAAAAATTTTGTACATGGTGAATATGAAACAAAATTTTTTTAGGTTTTATATATACAGTTGAATAACTAAAAAAAAATCATAAATTACTACATCAATACCATAGAATTATACTATAATTTATCAAGCTTAGTAACTAAAGTTTATTTTAGTTTAAAAATATATGAAATATTGAGCAGAATAAAGACACACCCTACTTTCTTGAAATATTGGATAAAAAGAAAGAAATGGCATCCAAGCCCTTTAAAATGGCTGAGAAAGCCACTAGGGGGACATTCTGAGATTCATGTCATAAATATAAGTAAGTGTATATAAGGGAGCATTTCCAAAAATGGAAAAAGGTGGGTGGGGTGCCACTGTTTGATTTATTACCTGAGCAATATCTTAGCAAATAAAAAAGATAAGATGCTCTTATTTCATATTCTAGCTTGTCAATATCAGTAATTTGAGTTTCTAATTTGTATGATACTATAGACTTAGTATTTTGACTTCACAAACATATAATTTGAACCAGTGCTGCATTCAATATACCACATGACACACAAAAATTGATGTTTATCTGTTTTTTTAATATTTACTTTTAAATTAATAAATTGAGTAATGTATAGTACTAAAATTTGAATTATAATCTACAGTTTGATACCAAACTTATTGACATTAATTCGTGAAATAGTAGTACATAAAATTTTGAATGCAAGTCAACAAACAAGATGACATACCTTTCACCTGTGACCTTTCTTGAAGGGGTTAAAGCATAGGTTTAAAATCATCCATAAATTTGTGAAACTTTCCCCATCTTTAAAATATATGTTAAAAACACAGCTTTGGGTAAGTCTTAGAATGTCAAAAACTTGTAATAAAGAGGACTTTTTTCAAAACTAACTCGTATTTATATGGTAAACAAAATTCATTAAACTGGATAAAACATTTAATTTGGAACCAACAGATCAATTAGCTTCATCTTATGTACTTTCTCTTTTCTTAAATATGCTTTAGGTTGCTTAGAATGTATAGATTATTAGTGAGTAAGAAGTCCTTTATTAGAATTTTTTCATATTGTAAATCTTACCCATACTGTGTTTTTAACACAATTTAATGTTGGTGAAATGTTTTACAGGAAGCTTAAGAGTTTAACTATGGGATACCACTTTTGTGTGAGCTGTTTATTCATGAATTTGAAAGCTGTGCTTTAAATACAGCTTTATATAAACCAGCTGTGTGATTGGGATATGTAGATAACATTTCTTCTGTGGCAGCATGGTAGTGATATGTTAATGGATTTTCAAAATCATATAAATTTTGTCAGCACTGACATTCAGTTCATGTTAGAATTTTGAATTTTCTGCACACTGTTAATTGAGTAAAAGGTTTTTTGTTTTTTTACTTTGGTGTACAGAAAGCCATTTTTGGATGTAATTCCATCACACAAAGAAACATGTTGTCCCTGGTTGCAAATGTCTACTTTCTCCTCATTTGTTCTTAAAGCTTTAAAGACCCGTACCTATCATAATGATTTAATGAGTTGAAGTTTTTAAACTGTGTTGCCATCAATAGAAGACCTAATATCAACAGGAGTTATAATAAATACTGAAATACAATAAAGGTATCACAGTGCACCAAATTACTGTGTTATGTGCTCAAGGTATTTCCACACAAATAGGTAATATATTGTTGCGTCATCGAGATCATGTGACTATTCTCACGCCCTCTAGTTTCTAGAACTATCCCGTACCTTGGCGAATGCTCTAGTATTTACTAGATAGGGTAGGCTGGTATATAAAAGAGGGTGACAATGTGACGAGATAATGTAATGTGTGTGTAGACAGTG